TTTTTTTGTGCACATTTCCCTGTTTCTGGTGCTGAAGAAGATATAAAGTCATTAAAACATAATTGAAAGTGCAGTTTACAACCCAATTTCAATGAGTTGAACACGATTATCCTGTGAACTTCCTGTTTCTTAAATATTATCCTGGTCTTTGAAGACTTACATGATATCCCATCAGACCGTGTTTAAGCCCTACAAGAGTTGGTTCATTTCTCAAAGCTAAAGCTGTTGAAGAGGTTGAGGAAAACAGCATTTTACACCTATTCTTCTCAAATGTTTGAAAATGGAACCAGAGAACAGTTTGCTTTGGTAAATGAAGGCAGTTACTACATAATTAGTGACAAATAAAAGCTGTTCAAAGTAACAGTATTAGTTAGTGTGTGTTAGTATTTAATACATTTGTCTCATGAAATATGTTGTGTATCACCCACAACACTCCCTACTTTGTTGACCAAGGCAAGCAACCACATGCCTCTCAATTCCAAAGAACACATAACATTTCTGCTTTAATCAGTGGCTGCAATAGTAGAGACATCTTCGGCAAAATAAGTAACAGAAAAAGAAAAAGCCTCTTTGTTAATGAAGATAAAAGTGATGCCTCCATTTTGCATGCTATCACAATTAGTCTCACCACAACCCTCTGAAAGATCCTTCCAGAGAAGGAAGATCACTTGACCACCCGTCTGTGACCAAATCTTGTCTTTCCATTAGGTGCTCTCCGTAACCATAACGTCTATCTCTGCTCAAGCTGGACACAGATGCTTAAAAAAGCACGGGGCATCACAAAGAGCTCACAGACAAGAAGTCACACGGCTCCTGTGATTGAAAAGATCCATTATTACGATGAACTGAGCTCAAGAATCTTATGTGTGTGCTATTCCTTTCAAAAACTAAAACAACAAACCTTGATTTTCCTTCAATGTAAATGAGCAGTTTGGCCAGCTGTTTTACTGATAATCTACCTCATAAAATGTATTATTTGGTGCAGAAATGGTGGTCAAGTAGCATGAAATGGTTTTGGGCGTTCAGTTGGAGTGATTTTAACACAGGGACTTAGAGTTGATCCCTGTAGGTTGTTGGTGGTATTTCAATGTTCCACAGACAAGAAATAAAAATTAACTTTTGCTGTGACTTTCACCTCTTGCCCCGGTCAGAGACATTTCTCATGGCCTCTTGTGTTGTGATCTGGCTCCTGATCAATTCTTGAACCTAGTGTTTGCATGCACTCCCTAGTGTTCATGTGGGTTTCTTTGGGGTACTCCAATAGTTTCATTGAACCTTTCAAATGCATGCAAGTGAATTAGATAGTCAACATTGCTCAAACTGTACAAAGTAATGTCTTCACAATATCCGGATGGGATGTCCTGTCCGATATCACGATATAGTATGTTTTATGGCAATTCAACAAATAAAGTCTTTATGAAATACACACATGATAAAGCATATTTTGTATACTTCTGTTTCAATTAACTATTTGGCAAATGAAAAGTACTGACTAAGAACATAACAGTTTCAAGGTGAATTATAGGGGGACAAATGTAATTTATCGACATAATTGTATATCACGGTACCTCAATATATGATTTAATCACGATACGATTTAATTGAAAAACAATAAAGTATGATATTGAATTATCATCCGGCCATGTCTTTTTCTTATTCTTCTTTCAAAACACAACAAAAGATAGACGGACATCTTTCCAGACACTACCCACGCCAACATACAGGCACGTAAAACTGGAAAACAGTTAAAGTAAATACACCAGAAGAGAATCCACAAGGAGGACTTTTTTTTTAAACAGACAAAGATGATCACATTTTACAGTTACCACCAATATAGGAAACGTATCAATCTTTAAGAAGACACTATACCCCTTTATAATTCAATAAACAAAGTTCTACAATACTTTGACATTTTGGAAAGTACACTTGTATTCTTTCTTGAAAGATGAGAATATTGATACCACTCACACATAATGGTCGATGAATAGAAGGGTACGGCCAGCAGCGGGTTAGCTTAGCTTAGCACCAAGACATATGAGTAGTTGCGACCAGGAGAGACTCCAGGAAGTTTCTTCTCAAGAAATAGTCCATCACTGTCAATTTTTTTCAACTTTGGTTTACGTTGGGATTGTACAAACTAAATATAATTTTCATTAGTGAGCTGTAGAGGTGCTGGTAGGCGGATTCTGTTGCCTTCGTACAGCGCAAGCCAGCTAGCTCTTTCCCCCTGTTTTCAATCTGTGTGCAAAGCTAGCAGCAGCTGGCTGTAGCTTAATATATAATGGACAGATATGAGTACCAAAAATGATCATCTGACTCCCCACCAAAAAATGAATAAATGTCTTTCCCAAAATGTCAAAGTATTCCTTTAATTCCTGTGTGTGAAGTGTGAACTTCAATCTGAAACACAATTCAGATTCATGCAGCTTCTGGGGTGTGAGGCGCAGTTCTGAATATAAAAATATGTACCTTGAACTAACAATAGCTGACACAAGTCTGACCAAAGTTCTGCATCAACATTTACACTTCGCTTTAATTATTTGAACAAATTTCTCAAAAGGCCCCCTTTCAAGCAGATCATATAATTCTTTGCAGCTTTGGAAATAACTGCCGAAAGTGATTCAAAGCGATTTTGTGATTCTAGACTTGAGCTGGTATATATGTAATACACAGTATGTAGAGGTTTGGGACCATATAACAAACCCATGGCCTCACATCAATTTAAAATGTTACTTTAATTCAGCTTACAGAAGTAGTAAGAGTTAAATGCACGATGTATGATCAAGTATGGTGTTCAGAAGACATTAGTGGTATTGTCTTCTTCTTCCACATAATCAAATTAAACTAAGACATCTTTAACTACAATGTCTGGGGGAGCCTCAACCTTTAAAGAAGACTTATCCTGCTTTTTCCAAGTAAAATATCTGGTCATCTGAGCGTCTCTAACTGAACTGTCACAGATGATTAGAGGAGGAACAACTCGTCTTGGTATCCCAAAGAGCATGAGGTCCTCACGAGAGACTGAGCCACAACTAGAATCAATGTCACCGTTCAGATAATCACGCATTGCCGATTCACCATGTAAGATGAATTTTGTTTGCTTCCTAACTGTGTAAAGCCTCTATTCATTTTCAGATTTTTCCACAGAAAAAACGTGGTCAACTCAATAATGACACTTTCCTCTTGAAATCTCAGCCCTGGTTGTTGAGAACCAAGTGTTTAATGTTATGTTGTTCATCTTGGTTGCTGAAATTAAATCTGTGACAAACCAAACTGACAACATTTTCGAATCTTTTCAAACTCGCAACCTTGTTTTCCTTTATAAATCTAGTTAGACACGTGTGTGAGAGTTTGGGTAGTGTGATAGGTAGGTCAATTATATTAGTTTTAAACATTGTGTACTATACTTCTCATTCTGGCATTTTGTTTTCAGGATTTCTCATGTTTCTATTCAAATATAGTCAAAATAATCAGCAGCAACATCCTAGCTACAGAGTTCTGTATTATTAGTTCATAATTAGAGAGAGATTTTAGTTGATAAATTAGTTAGACTACATTACAAAAGAAATGGCAACGTATAAAGTAGCAACCTTGTATGTATTCTTTACTAAAAACTTTTAAAAAATGTGACATAATGGGAGTTAAATCAATTAAATGAAAAAGTGTTTTATAAACATTCTAAGTAATGTCTCTTTTGTCTGTTTGTAAGTCATAACTGGCTTTATTTATGAGGAGTCACGCAGGGACAGAAGGATATTTTCAGAAATACAAACGGGGGCCCATCTCTTTTGTGTGTCTTCTGTGACCTCTCCTCGCAGAAAACCATGTGTTTGTCACACACACACACACACACACAGAAAAACAAGCTTTACACAACAGGAGTGTGAAATCACCATGTTCCAAGACTGGGGGGGGGGGGGGTTGTATTTGTGCTCCCAGTGGGCAGAAATCTCTGTGCACTCAGACGACATCAGGCAAAGCAATGACCCCTGAATTCATGATCGCTCTCAGGAAACAAGTGTTTCATCTCTGCCGGGGTCAACAGGGGACACTGATTTGAAACTCAATGCGTTACTGATGTAAGACACACAATACATGTAGAACAGAAATGATAGAAAAGAGAATGTGAAAGATGACCTGTCTGACAGCACAGTTATAACCAAAGAGCTTATACAATGTACTGAAGTGATTTTACATAACTTTAGCATTCTCGCTGTTTGATACATCTAAGGTAATATTGTATAAGTAGTCTAGTTTTTACTCCACTGCATTTATCTGATAGCTGTAGTTACTAGTTTATGATTTGACCTTCAAAACTAAATCTGTTCATAAAATATGACATAAATTAAAGTACCCATCAGTAGGCCTACCTCAACCAGCTAACATATTTATATGCTGCTTAATATACCAATACTAATAATATTAATAATAATACAATAATATGATGTAGTAACAGCCTTGTAAAATATTAGCACTATAACACTCGAAATGGGCAATTCTGTGTAATGAGTAGGCCTACTTTTACTTTTGGATACTTCAAGTATAATTTGGCCGATACAACTTGTCATGTAATTCTACTGAAACTTTTAAATGCAAAACCTAACTTGTAATATATTATATTATTTAGCAGTGTGCTATTACTACTTTTACTCAAAAATCGGAGTACTTCTACCACCCATGACCAAAGGTTATTCGTAAAATCACAACATAAAAACTTGAATGTAATGTGTGATGGCATGTTTTTATTAAGTTATTTTTTAAGTTGAGGGACATTTTCAAGGCTGACATAAATTCTTCAAAATAGTTTTAATGTGTCCGAAAATATTTCACTCTGAAGCATAAGCGTTCACAACATAGACTTTAACAGTAGGCTACAAAGTATTACAAGCCATGCCTTTAGTTTGCTGCGGTACAGTGGGGAGCAGTGCAACAGCGCCATCTTGCGTCACGATGATGCAGTAACGCATGTGACGTGCGTCACTTCCTGTTTAAACATGGCCGCGTACTGACAAATGTCACATTTCTCCTGCTGCTGTAAACATACAGTTATTAAGGTTGATTATATCACCTGGCCAGCAAAAAGGAAAAGGCGACAACTGGGGAGATTTTGCTTCACTCGGTCCAACACCTGCAGAGGTATTTTGCTCGTTTTTTGCTCGTTTCTGAGCCGCACGTGACGTTAGTCCTCAAACAGCCCTTTAGAAGTCAGCCGTTAGCAACAGCTACATGGCTGTTCTGTTGTTTAATGATGCGTTCAGTGTTGTCACAGGATAATTAACACCTAACTCTATGAGACTCACTGCTGGCGTTGTTAATTAAGAAAGACACGTTAATATGAAAAGGAGTTTTTTTTTTTCTATTGTCCATTATATCAGTTTATCTGCGATGTCTAACTTAAGGGGATGTTTTGTGTTCGACGTGCATGAAGTTGTATTAAATGTGTTCTCTCGCTCACATTGGGTTACTGCTCTTGTTTGTTAGGTTTGTAGTATCTCGTGAACCCATGTGGGCTGGGCACCTCTTGGTGCATGACGTTTTGAAAAGTAAATGATTTACCTACTACTAATACACACTTCGGTTTAATGTTGACTTTTGTGTTGTTGCAGGATAATCGAGCCAACACCATGGTTCATTTATGTGAGTATAAGATGTGAACACAACGGGCACATCCGGACGGTTTTGATGTTTCTGTCTTTGTAGCAGCAAGGACCGGGACAGAGTTCTAGCAAGACAAGTACATAAACCATTTAGAGTATGTGTAGTCGCACGTTTCTCGTGTATTTTGTAAGGATTACACGTTTAGCAGAAGCAGCCGGGACAGCTTCCTCACTTAACTATTGCTGCTTCGTCAGCAGTGAACAGAATTAGCTTGTCATATATAAAGTGTATCAATATGACTGTAACCCTACAGCTAACAATTATTCCCTGTTACAGATTGATCAGTCGATGAACACTTAATCTGTGAAATGCCAAAGATAGTGAAAACTGCACATCACAAGAGGACATGTCTTCAAATGTCTTGTTTTATCAAAACACAATGATATGCAATAAAAAATAATAGAAAACTCTTTAAGAAGCAAGAATATTTGCAATTGTTGCTTGATTATGCAAGTGTAATGGTTAATCGATAAATTATAGATTCATTTTCTGTCAGTCGATGATTCAACTAACTGTTTTTGCCACGATATAGTCTATAATGTACATATACATTCAGTTTCCAACTTACTAGGTTCATCCAGCGAAAGCGAATGTGGTTTAGAGATGTGTTGATTTAACTCTGTGGTCATTTTACAAGAGGCAGTTTCAGGTGCTTTTGTTTTTATTTATATTGTTGTATAGTGAAGAGAGAGATGTTGCTTACATTTCTTCCACCCCATTCACATCAATATGGTGTTTCAGTTTCACCGTAATAGAGCAAATGTCAAAAAGTATTTTACAATAATAGAGAAAAAGCAACAGACACAATACAAGATAATACAAATAAAGAACACTAAACCAAAGCAAGACGTGAACGTTTCACTGCTGCTCCTCCCGTCACTTAGGATTGTAAAAGCAAGAGGTCAGTCTGTGGTTTTATTTCACATGAACTATGCTTAACTGGAAATTACTTAAACAAGATGGTCAAAATCTCTGAAGTTACAGCCTTTAGTGAAGAGTGCATTATCCACATTAACAATGACAAGAAACTCATTTCCTTTTCCCTTTAGCAATGCTTACTGTGCTCATTTCCTTCTGCAGCATCACTCCTGCTTAAGAAGTACCACGGAGGTTACGTTGTCATCCGATTGGCTCTCGCAGGCCACAAACAAGCAAACAGACCTTTTTATCGAGTCGTGGCAGCTTACAACAAAAGGGCAAGAGATGGTAAATATTTAGAGCAGCTGGGAACCTACGACCCCCTCCCCAACATCCACAATGAGAAACTTGTCAGCTTCAACTTCGACCGAATCAAGTACTGGATCGGCTGTGGCGCACACCCTACAATGCCAGTGGCCAAACTTCTAGGTGTGTATTCACTACATGAGCATGTGCTTTTAAGGTGGATCAACATTGCTGTTTTCTGCCTGTCCAGATAACTGTGCTGCTCTTAGTGATTTGTTTATTAATGAGGGCCATCCATAACCTTTAAGAGCACCTACACCTTTAATTTCTATCTAGAGCTTTACGTCTGTGTTGACCATTCTTTGAAATCTTGTTTTCTATATGATCTGCTACCATAAATGATGATGACTGTCTAGAATTATTATGTGTTCTCACTGGGCCCTAAAGCACCTCATCCATGCCCTCTCCTTTTAAAGGATTGTACAGATACAGATTACATGTGCTTTTACGGTCACAACAAGCAGGTAGAACATCAGGTATTACTCGGTTCTCCAGAAATTGGCAACGAGAAATTCAAATGAAAAGAGATGCATCAGCTCCAAAATATTTTGAAATCTACTAGACAACATTCATGTAATAACTAGTTGGGAAAGCTTGTAGTGAAAGATATTGACTATAAGATATTCACTGCCCCTCTCCGCTATCTCTTTCTGCAGGGTTGGCAGGATTTTTCCCTCTGCACCCAATGACGATAACAGAGGCGGAGCGTCGGAGAGCGCAAACAGAGCTGATAGCAACAGGAACAGAAGAAGTTCTGCAGGAGGGACAGAAGGAGGCTTAAGTGTGTGTGTGTGTGTGTGTGTGGGTGTGTGGGTGTGTGGGTGTGTGGGTGGGTGGGTGGGTGGGTGGGTGGGTGTGTGTGTGTGTGTGTCACAGTCATTTGGAGGGAACTGATCTATTTGTTTCCTAACCTGTTTGGTGGACTGCTTGAAGCTATGTCAGATATGGCATATTGTAGTTCTAGTTGCTCTAGTAGCAGCTATGGACAATTCTTATTGAAACTGATTCTTGATAAAATGCAATAGTTTGAGGTTATGTTAATGAGTGGAGTGCCTCGAGAGACAGTTGTGTATTTACTGTTTTATTAAACATTAATAAAATATTTCAATATTATTCCATTTGGCTGAGGTTAACAAGCTGATTTTTTTCTATCATCCTCTGTCTAACATTTTCAAGACCTTTTTATGGAAAAATATTTGAGTTTACTTGGAACCTGACTCACGGAGGGTGTTTTCATCTTTCATTTTTGTCTGTTTTCTTCCTTTTAAAATTAATAAATAACTATTAGTCCGTTGCCATGCCAACATATTTATTACCTGGCTTTGTTGAAACTCTGAAGTCCTGAAATGACCCACAAACCCTCTACACAGCACTGGCCGTCGGACAATGACTCATTGATGCATAATGAATAACTTGAGATTACAATATCTTATTTATTGGGTTATTTGGAAATTTTGTGGGGTAAAGCATAGCTTAATTAAAAAACAAAAATGCTGCATTCAAATAGGGATTTGAACATCAATGACCATGGCAATGGTTGAAGCATTTTGGTGGGCCTTAGTTATGTCAAACACAAGAATAGAGGGAAATCAGAAGTGAGTGGGTTTGCTGATGTGATTATTGGCAAGCTTTACAGCACTTAGTTTCTTCTAGGCTCAATAGCAAATTCTCCACCCGTATGCTGACCTGCATGTTATTGAAAACTTTGTAAACTGAAAACTTACTGTTAATCATTACATGACTTCTGATAGTTAACAATATTGTTGAATCATTATGCAGTTAATCATGTTTTTGCTGCTTCATAGGAAACAGCCTAATGCCATTTGTTTCTCATTAGAGTGAATATTTACAGACCGTATTCAGTTACCTTCGGTCATGCTGTAAGCTCAACCTTGTATTGAAGACCACTACAATGAAAAACAAATCATACACAGTAAATAATCAATTTCAGAATATATTTGACCATTACAATGGAAAAAGCAATGGTCATATCATTTAGATATCTCTAAAACATGAATACTCCATACTTAACTGTGTGGTTAACAACCTTAAGCAGCACATGTCTTCATCATCAACAGGTCATATTGTAGAAATAAGGTTGCAGACAGCACTATGTGCATGTTATCTTTTGTTAATACAATGCAAGCAAACACATTGTGTGTTTATATCTGTACTTTATTGTTTCGGCTCTGTTCACAAAAAGCTCTCAAATGAGCTCTGTGGACAGGTCATTTAATGAAGTACTACAAAGTGTTTATCCTTGCATGCTTATGTCAAACCACAAGTATGGCTCACGTCAATCAGGTAATTATTAAAAGACTAATTTGAGTCAAGATGCACTTGACAATGCAAGGTGACATTTGAAAGTTCTGCAGAAACAAACAAAACTTAAAATAGTCATTCATTTCTATAAGGATTGTGGTGTAAAGGTCAGTTTGATTCTTTAACATGTTGGAGCACCGAGCATTCCCAAATACAACTAACTATAAAGCAGCAGGGTATTGCTGAAAAATGTTGGTTATAAGTATATTTTTGTTGGAATCTGACCATGTGCCCTCCACATGTGAAGAAATTTACAGTGTTTCAATTTCTGCCCCCAAACACATTAATAATTCTATTGATGTCAATAATTTAGTTTTCTTAAATGCTGATAATCCAAACACGCTCCTTTTCGTTTCCAACATTCTTTATAGAATTTTAAAAATGGTCCCAAATTCTTTCGTCTCTACTTTGAAATTATTGCATTATTATTATTTGACATAGTGAGCAGGAAGTAATCTGTTTCTTTGCGTAGGGAGGGCACTGCATCAGTAACAACCTCAGTTGATCATTAATTACACAGAGTATATTTGATAATGATAGAAGAAATGTGATATGGCATACCACTACCAACAGGATCAGATTTAAGTGACAATCTGCAGACGTTTATAAGGGGAGATTAAGTCTAGTGCAAGACTGAAAATTGCATAAGTTAATTATTCTGCTTCATTATACTGTATACATGTTTATGGAGTGAAAGACATTGCAGCAGTTGAAATATTTCAACATTACATCTTTTGGATGATTATTTGAATGGCCTGGAAAATGATAAAGTGGATTAATTTGGGATCCTGTAATTGGAGGAGGCGTTCTCTTATAATCCTTACTTTTGTGGTCGTTGTGCTCATGGCATTTTGTGTGTTCTTAACACAAAAAAGAGGTAAGTCTGTGATTTATCGTATTCTTTGCATAACCAGGTGAGCCTGAAGATGTATTTTGAATATACTATTTTTTACACTGATATCATTTGACAGTATGTATGTATCGTGCTATGACATTTTGACATGATTAATTTTAGTCCTACAATTAATGCAGAAAGTGCAAACTCTGTCCATGCTGTTAACATGCAAATTAGGCATCACACACAATACTTTGTACTCAATATATGAGTTTTTTGGAACATAAAGTTCACAAAAAATGGGACTGAATTTGGTGATTCATTTAGTAATTTTTTTATATTTAAAAGTCACCTGGAGTAATGTTTTGTGGGTGCAGTTTAGGTAGCTTATTCACAAACCTATACAAAATCTAAGTCACCTTTTCTATTACTTGCAACGGGCATATTTATAAATATATATATATGTTTTTATATATACATTTTCAGTAAATTTTTAATAACTGCATCATCTCAGGATTGGACATTTTTTCATAGGCGCAACCTAAATTCCATAAAAGCAATAGAGTGCACACAAGAGGGAAATAACTGATACTGACTAGATTTACTGGCATATTCAGTGAATAATTGAAGAAACAGAATAGTGTAAGAATACAAACATTACACTACAGCCTTTCGATATTTGCACGAGATAATGAAAATGTATCCTATTCAGTGTTGGAGGAAGTGATATCCATTTTATAAGACCTTAGTAAGTCTCATATCAAAGTCTAAAAGCCAGTCTCTGTACTATTGAAGATAACGATGCTAACAAGAAAAAATTAACTCAAGAAGATGATATGATTTGACAAAATAATTAGGAATTGTTCCAAGTAAACATTGTTGAAACAATGAAAAGACAGAATAATGTGTTAAATAAATTTTAACTTAAGTTTTGACTGAACTTTAATGGTGATGCCAGATGCTGTGATGTGCAATGACAAATGCATTCATCATGCACAAATATTGTCTTGTTTAACAGATGATCAAAATGCAAAACAATACAAAACGGACGAAACATGGAAGAAACCACAGAAAGCAGATAACCATAAAGGAAAGAATCTGTCAAACATAAACATGTCAGAGGTCTTTCCAAAAATACGATTTAATAACAAAACAGACCAACAGGATATGACTCATTCACTAGAATCACAGCCAAGCAAAACAGATTCAACAGAGTCAATAACAACACTCACCTCAAATGGAAGAAGCAGCACTACCAACACTGATCAT